GCTGACGCTTGTTGGCGGTCGTCATGCTGGCCTGCAAGAAATGAATAGAATAATTAAGATTAAGTCTTGTCTTATACAGGACGTGACACTCACCTGAAACGCCTCAAATAGATGATCCAGCTGCTCGGGCGTAAAGTCCCAAGCCAGCTTGGCCAACAGATCGTGCATGTTTTTAACAATCGCTTCGTGCTTGCCCGCTTGAGCTCGCCACACTGCGTCCAGGTCGTCAAGCGTTAGTGCCTGCTCTTTTATAAGGAAGCGTATGATCTTCTCCAGCTTTTCCACATACTGTGGCTGATGCAATGAGTCCTTGAGCACAATGCCAAGCACATCGGATGACTTGATCCATTGGGCCATGCGCTCTGCAGTCAGCCAGTCCATTTCATCCTCGGGTAAGCAATGGGGCAGCGGCTGAGAGCGATGCGAGTAGTATGCCACCGAGGACAGCACCTTGTTGATCTCATTTAGGGCATTCATCTTGCCATTGAAACTGGACACCTGCAGCAGGCGCAATATCATTTTAAGGCGAAACATCTCAAGATCGCGTATCATTTCCTCCTGGCCGGTCAAGCGGCTGGCCAAGGAACGCGCCGACTTCACAATGCCATTTATATAGTCATTGCGGCCCTCGGGTTTCACCTCGCGCTTCAATTCATCATCGGTGAAACTATCAAGCAGATCCAGCACCACATTCCAAGTGGGCATAAAGTACTTGGCAATGGTAGCTGGCGTTAGCAGCTCATAGCATTGGCCAAAAGGTCGAAGCAGGCTGTGTATGAGCGCCAGCGTCAGTCGATTGTCATGTCCGGCACCTTCCACGCCCACACTCTCATTGGATGCGATGCTCTTGACTGCTCCAGCCTTTGTGTTTTGATTGCGCTTCAACAACTCCAGGCCGCTATTAAAACGCTCGAGCAGATTATCAAATCCGCCCAACTGCCCAAAGCGATTTATGAGATCGACTAGCCAACCGCGCGGATTCTTTGGCTCTGGCGGCGGTTTCGCATACATCTTATTACTGTCCAGCACACCCCAAATGGAATCGGGCGCCGCAAAGCACTCCGGCTGGCGTACCGCATTGAACGTGTTGAACTTATTATCGGGATCAAAAACAATAGCCAGCAAATCGAGGAGGTAGGGATTATCGCGCTGCATGTGTATCGCAATTAAATTCAACAGCTTGCCGCACGACACCAAAATGCAGTGATGTATATTGTATTTCCACGAGTTGACTGCCTCATCGGTAAGTATTTTAGCAAAGGATGTGGTTAAGCCATTGCGATAGAACTCGACGCACGGCTCGCAGTCATGATCCGCACCTGGAAGCAAGAATTGGGGAATTAAGATGTAGAACTAACTGTGCGACAATTGATTACTTACCAGCTTGGGCTAGTTCAATGGCGGCATTAAGCAGCACTTCTAGCTCCTGTTCGGGCAGCACGGGCACAACCCAGCGTGGATTGGATATCTTTTGTGTTAGGGAGCGCAACTTAGCGGTTGGAAATGACGCTATCAGCTTTTCCGGCGTCCTGTGCATAATGCAAAAACAAGAAAAAATTAACTTTTTGCCGATTTCGATTCTATTTTCGGCCTTTTTTATTGAGGGTCGCGTGCAGGTGGAGGGGTGCGTGAGTCACTGCCTGGCCCCGTAAGTAGATAAGCGATAATTGTGCTTTGTTTTGTTATTATCGTCGGCTTTCGTGTTTATTATTTAGATTGCACATCTACATAGCTAAAGCACGCACGCACACACAAAATTTGCGTATGTGTGTGTGTTACGACTCGTGATTCGAATTGATTTGCTCTAATGGGACAAACACTTAAACAATTAGCAAAGGGCAGCTACGGCTTAATTAAAATTAACTAATAATTCAATCAATTTATGGCACATAATTGCAAGAATGTTCTTTAAAAAGGGGCTGCGCACTGGCTAGCAATACATAGTGGAAGTATTTTTGTCCCGCTAGGGAGAAGTCCACTTCAAATCGCCACAAATTGTTTCAAGTTTAAAAGTTGCTTCTCCGTTCTAGGGATAGTTTCTGTAAATAAAATATTGTCCAAATTCAGGTCAAACGAGCGTAAGCTCAGCAGGGTAACTGTGTTCGATAAAGTAAGGGAAAAAAGATTGGAACTAACAAAATTAACTGGCTTAAGGAGAGGTGCGCCTAAGGGAAGCCATCCCTCAAAAGAGCTTTCAGTGTATTTGTATAGGAGAACTTTGTGAATATGGTAAAGTTTTCGCGAATTCCCGTTTTCATTCAAGCCCATTAACTACGCAGTTAATACATTAAAGTTATTAACAATAAATAGTTAAACGGTAAAATACTCACATTACTGTAGCGGTACTCTCTACAGCATTGCCACCTGCTTCTGTTGGTGCATCCGTAACTTGGGCCGCATCCTGGCTGTTCGTGTTGCTATTGTTGGTATCGCCACCGCTGCTGGACATGCTCGATGTTGTGACTGCTGTTGTGCCCGTGCCAGCGTCTTGAGCTGTGCTCGTTATGCCAGCGGTGGTGGTGGTTGTGGTGTTGGTGGTAGTGGTAGTCGTGGTGGTGGTGGTGCTGCTGCTGTTGTTGGTCGTGGCTTGGCCAGTTCCTGTGCCCTGCCGGCGCGTATCGAATGTCATTGTTGCGCCCTGTGGCTGCACCAGCGTCACAATCGCTTAGCGCCGTCGTCGTTTGTTGTATTATGTTGGCTGCTTATCAGGTGTGAGAGTGTGTGTGTGTGTGTGGGTGTGTCTGTGTTTTATCGTAATTCTACAGAAGTCTACGCTGGGCGGCTTTGGCTTTGATTATTGACTATGGCTATGGCAGTCCTGGTTCCGGAGAGACACTTCTGTTTACACCGTTGCTCCTTATTATTGTTTTGGGTTTGCGTAAGTAATCAAATGAAAGAATAATGTTTGTAACCAATGTACATAGGCACTGTTGGTCGGCGTCGGCGTCTGTTTTGCCTCTGTCTATTGTTTGACGATGTTTGAAAACCTTTTTTAAGTTTCTTCTTGGTTTTTGTTTATTTCTTCTTATTATTATTATTGTTTTTATCCCAATAAGAATCGGTTTTTTCTGATGTTGTTGTTTCTATTGTTGTTGTTTTTGCATGCACTGCTGCTGTTTGCGGCGCGCTGCGTTTAGTTTACATATTTCTGCTCAACGGACACAATTGCAAAAATCTATAAACTGCAACGAAGTAAGAAAAAAAAGAAGAAATAGAAAAATGAATACAAGCGCACAAAGGAGACCGAAAAAATACACTCGCACACACACTGGCGCACGCACGAACGAAAAGAGCGAGCGCAAATTGTGGCATGAGAGTGTTTGAGAGTGGGTTGGAATATGAAAAATCAATATTATTTAATAGACGGGGGTCAGGCAACGACGGCGGAGGGAGCCGAGCAGTAGCCAAATATATGTGAGCATATGAGCACTCACACACGCACACCATCACTCTCTCGCACACTTACATACACAGCGACAGTGTGAATTTAATTTGATGTTGTTGTTGCCGTTTTACGTTGTTCTTTTCCTGCTTATATTTATTTATTTGTTATTATTTTCAAACAAAGAAGATTTTTGCTTTTCCCAAAAATTACATCACTGCCTGCTGCGTTGGGTATCCGTGGAACGGCACCCCATCCGGCAAAAGCGCCGGGGACCATAAGAACAAATGTTTAAAGAGCAACCACTTATTTTACTACCAAAGACGATGAGCTCCAGTCCTGTGTATTTTTCGCCTGCTCCTACTTATGCTTCTTCTTCGATTTCAGCAGTTCAAAACTTTTATTTTTCAATCTGACAACTGACGTGCAAACTTATCATTTGAGCAACGAATTGTTCGTTGTCAACACTGCATACATATTTGTACATTCATATATGCATATATGTACATAGGCAGTGCAGCACAGTTTGGAAGGGTAGGGGGAGGGCATAGACCCGCACAAGTGTAGCGCACGGCAAACGTATATAAAATCCAATTGGAATTGGTGTAACCAGAATTACGAGGGCGGTGGGTGACTAAATACGCATTTTCTGCTGAAACCTGATATTATATTTGCAATTTGCAGTTAGTATTGCAGGACATTGACGTTTCGCTACGTTTTTCACAGCCGACATACACATTAACACACACATATTAGAGCAGCTACACATCTACACATACAAATGTAGTCACCAAATCATTTTGCTTTTGCACAACTCACCATTTTGTGCATCCGCCCTAAAAACACTGTGCGTTTTTGTTAATATACGCATTAATTTACACTGTCGCACTAATTTGCCACGATATCTGTACGCACATTTGGTTAGGGCTTGGTTGTTAGAATGTCATAGTTGGTGCACAAAATGTTAAAAACTAATTATGTATCTTTTTTTGCAATTTTTGCTGGCTGGCTCTCCTAAGCTTTACAAATCAGCCGGCCGATAGCCAAAATGGCGTCTTCGTTGGTGATGGCCAATTTTTGCAATTGTTGGTGTTTGTTTTTTTTACTTGCTGGCGTATTGCCTATTAAATTTATATAAATTATTTTAGTTTACTACCTACTTCCAATTCTTATATTAGAGTTAATTATTATTTTTACTTGTGTAGACGGCCGATAGATTATGGTAGCCGGCCGATTGTCGAACTGCCTAAATTTAACATCGACGGCAAAAACACCTTGCAGCCCTGGTCATTATCGGCCGTCCTCCCCATTATGTGTTCGTTGTGGGTGAATAGCTTTGAACACTCTTAGCATTAAAATAATAAAGTTAGCAACAATTAGAAATATAGCTTTCTCATAATCTTAAGAATGGTTACTGAAGTTCCGTTCAGTACTTTTTTTAAAGTATCGAATAAATTTATAGTGAATGTTAGGACAGCTGTTCTGTTACAGGTACGCTTTGGCAGTGTTATCATATATTTAAAGACAGTCAGTTTGTGCCGGCTAGCGATTAAATTGAATTTGGAAATTAATTTATCGTTTTTCAATTAAATTTGAACCTATATATAAAATAAGTTTGATCGCTTAACAAATTGTTTGCCTTTTCGCACCAAATCGCTAGTCAAATTTTGATATTTACTACCAAAAATATGATTACCGGTTGCTTTCCAGAGACGCACTGTTAAAAACATTTCCGCAAATGTAAGGGATTTTGGGTGCCCACAGATGTATGTTAGTGTTGGGTGAAATAAAAAACATTGCTCCCAACCGAGCAAGAAAAAACAATAATCCACTTTAATATAAAGATGTACAATTATTTGGATCGTTGTCCCGGCATTTATTGTGGTAGATCACTGCTAGACAATGGCAGTTGGAGCAGCTGCGGTGTTTGTCCCAGAGGATCACGGGTATGTTACTTAAATTGTTGTTTTGTTTTGGTTTAATGCTGCATTGTTTTTTTTTAAGGTGAACGCCAGCTACGCGTGTACGCCCTGTCGGGACGAACTTACCACCTATTCGTGGCTGTATTTAGGCTTTATGACCATGCTGCCACTTATGATGCACTGTTTCTTTATTGACTTGGATGCCAAAGATCGAAAGTTTTCGCGCAAGCAGTTAATCCTCACAGCCAGCGCCTTCATTGAGGTGGCACTTGCGGCAATACTGTCAACACTCTTCATGGAGCCAATGTGGGAAATGCGTTTGTACTCATGCGAGGTGCGAAAACTTACCGACTGGTACACCTTGTTCTACAATCCCAATCCCAACTATGAAACCACGTATCATTGCACCCAGGAAGCTGTCTATCCGTTGTAAGTCAATGGCAAAAGCCTTTCTACAAATTTATATGAAATACCTTTTTTATGTGCAGGCAAACAATTGTTTTGGTGTATTACTTTTTGTGTTTGCTCAATATGTTTCTTATACGCCCCATGATCAGTTCGATGATGGATGTGCGCGGCAAGGCGCCCATTTACTCGGCACTCTATTTTCTGCCAATGCTGACATTAATTCATGGCACCTGCTGTGGCCTTATCTGTAAGTCAACCAAATAGCCTTTGTGCAGCACATAATATTAACTAATTTCTTTTAGATTATTCGTTCCCTTATCTAAGTATCGCTATGTCAATGGTGGCCAACGCCATCCACTACTCTTTAAAGCTAGATCAAACGCAGAAGGCGTTGCTGCTGTCGTCTGTGTGGGATGTCAAAAATGTTGTCATTATTTGTAAGTCGGCTGTCGCAGTTCGATTCGGTAGAACATTAAACTATATTTTACTTTAGCTGTTCACTGGCTGCTGCTTGCTTTTGGCATCTGCTCCTTGAATTACCATTATGCGTTGCTGTGCCTGGTGCCGTTTCCCTCTTTGTTCTACATTTTGACTGTACACTTCACCGATCCTGGCGAGTTTCGGGAAATCGAGTCGCGCATTTGATCCGGAAACTTGCAAATGCAAATATTTCATGCGAGGGGCGCTAGGCGTTCCACAGTTGTTATTTATGTGTAGTTTTACGTGTTTAAATTATTTCTTAATATTATATATGTACTCTTAAAATAGCATCCAACTCATGTCGTCTTTTCGTTTTAATTATATTTCACATTAATTATACACATATAATAATATTAATTATAAATCATCAGTTTCCCCTTTTCTAAATTAGTTTTTTTTACACAATATATATTGGTATATATTGGGTTTGCACGCCCCGCTTTATCATAGCCCCCCACGTTCCACACGGATAACGTTTTATGTATGCGAGCCTTCTACAATGTCAACGCATTCATCAACAGTTCCCCATATTGAAAACCATGCCAACACAACAAAGTCAAAGGAATTTTGTAAAAGATAAGGTCCATATGTAGTAGAAGCTAAAATCAATATCCATTCATAGAATACACATCGAATTATCTGGATGCACGTGTGATAGCGAGGTGGGCGTGAAGGCTGCTGCTGCTGATTAAATTCAGTTCTTCAAATTCTAATCTGTTTTGTCGCTACTAGTTGGATATTTGTTGCGTTCCTCTAAAAATTTCAAGCGTCGCTTTCGCAACTCGCTAAGCTCGGAGCTTTCTTCGTTATCAACATCCTCGCACGCAGCATCTGTGGACGGCACAACATCCTCCTCAGCGCCCAGATCTTCAATAGTGACTTTTTCTGAGACAGGGTTACTTGAAGCAACACTGACTTGCGGCTTATCCTCAGCAGCGACAGCAGCAGGTGCTCTTGATGTGCTGGGTTTATCACAAGCTGTGGGGCTGCTCACTGCCGGTACTGGTTCTGTTGCTGGTGCTTCTGCTGCTGCAGTGGCCACTGGTACTATATTGGGCACGTTTTCAGCCGCTGTTTCTGGGACTGGTGGTAGCACTTGTATGGGCGGTGGCAGCCGCGCAATTATCCCTTGGTATTGTTGCATCAGGATGTTGGCCGAGTCCACCATTAGCGAAATATTGCGTAGCATCTTAACGTTGTTACAGATTAGTGGGCTATTGCACAAAACTTTAAACAGTTTATATTTACCTTAAGACGTTCTTGAACGTGTTGGCGTAGATTGCCCTCCATGGCGAGCAGCTCATCCTCGTTGAACGCGTTTAGGTCCTGCGGCATTGGCGGTGGCGGTACAATCGGCGGCGTAAAGTATGGAAATGGTGGCTGCATCATAAATGGCGACAGCATGGGCGGCGGTGGAATCCCAGCTAGATTTGGAAATCCATTTCCTAGGTTATCTTGAGGTCAGAAAAATATGTAAGTGTGTAAGTAAATATGCAATCTTTAAGGAGAACGGGCAGTAACTCACTGGCATCGCCGAATATGTCTGAAAAGTTAGGTGCTGCTGCATTTTGTCCGGCTGTACCATTTGGACGCGGCAGACCAGCGTCTGGTGCTGCTGCTGGGATATTTGCAGCAACATTTGCGCCAGCTGCTGGCTGGGCGGCAGCTGGAGCTGCTGCATTTGCAGGCTCGTCAGCTGGTCGCGGCATTGCTGTGGAATTAACTGTCGGTGTACGCAGTATATTCAGGCGACATGTGGGACAGGTTTGTTGGCGTTGAAACCAAGAGCGCAGACATGTTGTATGGAAGATGTGGCCGCAAGGCAACTTCTTTGAGTGATTAACCATGTCCTCGCGACAAATGATGCAGATATTGTCTGATTGTCGCAGCTCCTCGGGCGTCGCATCTGGATACAATGTATTCATGTTGCGAATGGCGCGACGTGACATAATGACATCATTGAGCGCCTTGCGGAAATTGCGTATGGTAAAGAACATTGGTCGGAAGACAAACATCGGCAATGCATAAATCTTTGCCATAATAACAACAAACAGCAGATAAAGCACCACCTTAATGAGACCAATAACCAGCTCCGTATACAATAAAAATACGGCCTTATTTTCCCAGGGCGTATCGGTGCGCATCTCTGCAGCATGAAGCACATATTTGATGGCCGTGCTGGCGATGACCGTCAACAGAATGGCATACTCGAAGCCAAACACCAGCTGGACCGTCGGACCACGCACAAGCGTCGAGTTGTAAGCATGCATAAGCAACACATAGTCGAGTATACCCAGCATGGTTAGCAGACTGCCGACGCGTATGTGAAACAACCAGCCCAGTACTGGGGAACGCTCCATCTATAAGAAAACTCAGATTTAATAAATATGCATAACTTGTGGTTGCCGGCGCTCGTTGAGCACTTACAAAGTCAACGCGTTCCTCAGCGAGCCAATGGAATGATTTAAGAAATAGTAGCACTGTGAAGAGCGCCACAAAGCGAGGATTAAAGTCGTCCCGAAACACAGTAAATGCCAAACAGGTCTCTGTCAGTGCATACCAAAATCGCTCAAGCAGATGCTCAAATTCAGCGGCACGTAGCGTGCCCAGAAATATCTGCAATGAGCCATAATTATCAAAACTCCGAACTGATATTAATATGTTTATATATGAAAAGTATTTATACCTTGCGCAAGAGCTTGCCAAACATAAAGACTATCACAAAGAATTGTATGTAGATTACCTGTAAAAATGGAATATTCATTGTGGTTATCATTTTATAGTTTTGTTGGGAAAACAAATGGGTTTGCCACTCACCGCCATGGATGCATTAGATTTGGTGATATATACGACGGCCGGATAGAACTGCTGTTTCTGGTAGTAGGCGTTGCCAATTACGGCGCTGGTCAGCGCCATGCAAACACTTGAAATTAGCAGCTGCATGTTGTCGCAGTTGGTTGCAAAGCCAGCCAATTGGCTGATTGACTCGAGAAAGATGTTAATGTTGAATGTGTCTCTGGTCTATTTCCGTGAACGTCAGATATAGATGTTTTAAGTTTATTGCTTTGTACTTTTTAGCGTTCCGACATCGACACGGTTAATTTTGACTGTTCTCTCTCTGTGTGTTTTACATATATTTTCGTTTTTTTCCCCTGTTTTTATTGTACACGTACACGACTCGTCAGCACGTAACGTAATGGCGTCCGGCCATTCACAGGTTCGTGCACAGTCAGCTGTTGTAAAATCAGTGTGACCGACTCTCGCTGGTTTAGGTGCACGTTAAATTTGGTTATCAACGTTAAAATTGTTGTTTTTAACGGCGATTGTACAAGCTAGCTTGCTTTGTCAGCGAAAACTCTATAAAGTATACAAAAATATTCTTACATACATTATGCTAATCAATTCCGCTGCATAGTATCGATGCAAACGATATTTTCTAAATAATTATTTAATATTGTGACTTTACGGTTACTGAGCACATTGACCCCGCCTAAAAGTATACATCGTATTTGTATACATCAGTCACATTGCTTATGCGTCGACCAATCCCCGAACAGTTCTTTGAATTGTTTACGTTAAGCAAAACAAAAAATTTGTTGAGCAAACAGTCAGCTAAATTCGTTTTTTCATCGATAAATAAAGCTTGATTAAAATGTTTCAATTGCCCGTTAGAAAAATTGCAAAGTCTTAAAGATATTTTATTTTATGAATGCATCAACATAGAGGTCATTTTCTTTTTAGCTGCTAATGAACTTATTCAGATAAACAAAAGTCAATTAATTATAATTATACATTAGCCAGAAAGCGTAAAAATAGCAAATAGCTGATTGAGTCTCATCTCTCGCTGGCGGTTGGCACCTATGGCCATGATTAGCGGATGAGCCAGATTTGGCTATAATTAACGCTATATAAAATCATGCTATAATTTCGGAATACAATCGAGCTGCTGATAAAAAATGCACGCTGTGACCAGCAGGGTGTCCGAGTTGGCAAACGATTTGTGATTTGTGATTAACCTGCCTGAACTTTTACTTTTGGCCTGCCGCCTTGAGAATCTCTACTGACCATATGGCTATAAACTAGCTGCATGATCGTTGCGCAAAGGCGAGTCCCCATTGAGGCGCAGCTGCTATCTTTGCATAAGCTGATCAAATGTTAGCACCCAAAGGCTAAAGTTTGTGCGCAGAACTTGCAACCGATGGCTGCCGAGAGTGGACATGTTTAGTGGTGTGGTGGAAAATCGACTCCAGCCGCTGCCAAAGCCAGACATGAAGCCACGGGCCGAGTTCCAGCAAGTCAGTCTGCCTGGCAGACATGGCAAAACGTGTCGCAGCAATTTCCCAAACAATTTCAGCATTTCTATGCAAGTTTGGTTTTCACAGCATCTTTTATATTTGTTGTTTTTTTGTCTAGCTTCAATTCGCATTGCATATGCAATTTCACTTGCCTAGCCGAACCACCCCCGCGCTCCTCTACAGCTACCGCTTACGTTTTCTGGTTGCGCTGGCTGCAACATGGACAACTCATCTGCCAGCATGCCGGTTGCCGTTGTCTTTGCTTTTGTTGCTGCTGTGGCAGCGACTGTCTCGGGGCTGTATCAGTCTCCACGCTTGACTTACATAAAGCTAGGAGCACGGTTCGAGTCGTTGTCGGACAAACAAAACTTGTTTTGTCTTTTTGAGGAAACGAAAGAAGACGTCGAGGTTGTTGCTACTGCCACAACCGCTCGAGGGGCTCTTCTGCGTTGGCGCCTTATGTAACTGTTTGCCAGCTGAATCTGCCTGGTGCCTTGTGCCTACGGTTTTAGCGCATTCATCTTCATCAGCAGCAATTACATCTTGCGATATTCTCGGCATTTGTCACCGGTTTTTACCCCCCTGTCATTTATATGCTTGAATAATCCGTTTTTTTACACATGATTCGCCAGTTTTCGAGATGTTGAAAAATTGGTTTCTCTTTATCACAAATCACGGTTTTTGAAAAGATGCCACACAGCTGCATAAATTTAGTTAACTATTAGCAGCTGAAGATGCACATGTCATTAAATTAGGCAAACAATAGGAATATATTTCAGACATAATCTGAGGAAGATTTAAAGACTGCGTTGTCCGATCAGTTAATTAAATGAAAATGAAAATTTTCTTATTCAATCAACATTGTATTTTATAGCTCGTATGCCAAATTTTTTGTGATCTGGCATCACTTAATCACTGCTCCTGAACAATATTGGCAAATACTCGCTAACAAAATCTTAAATGCATTTGTTAAATGTTTTTTTCGCTCTATATTTTTGAACCACGCAGATAAAACGAATAAAATATCAATGCCTAATAATAATTTTTTTGCAGTGCAAATTTGTTTTGGCATCAAAAGCTGTTCCCATTTTTTGATAGGGGCGTTGCTCTCTACAGCAATATATGTATGTATGTATGTATATACATTCATACATAGGTAAATACCTAAATACATTTTGTAACAAAAGCCTTATCGGATTATCCATCAATTGGCATAGAAAAACGACGATTTGATAATTTAGCCGCGTCTTCAGTAAATTTGCCAACATTGTTGTTATTTTGGTGTATTTTCCAGCCGCTATCTGGCCCAATTAAAGTGTCATAACCATTACCAACGCACTCGCACTCGCACAAACGCACACGCACACATGTGCGCTGATAATGAACATCTACTTAGGCCGCCATTAGGCAGAGAAAATAAAAAAGCAGTCCAAAAGCAAATGTAAGTCATGAAACGGCGGCGTCGTCTACGCTGACCTAGTGGACGTGTTAATGATGGATTTGACCAGATACACAGACACACAAAGCGTATGTACATAAACGTATTGTGGCGTGCAATAAAGCGTTTCATTAAAGTTGCAAAAAAAAATCGTTTAAAAACGAAGCGAATGGCCAAAGCAACGCACCAAAAACGATAACAAAACAAAACATGCAAAAATAAAAGCAAAAGAGCAGCGGGCTTGCTCCAATGCCAATCCCAGGCCAGGCCGATCCTCCAGTGTGACCAAGCTAGTAATTTAGAATGACAGCCCAAGCAGGAAAACAGGTACACGAATCAAATAGCCCTTCCACATTACTCCAATTACAGCTCGCACTATTGAAAGTGCGAGTTAAAGAAAAAAAAAAATGAAGACAATTACGAAATAAATTGAGAGAGAGACCTTCACAAGGCATCTCAAGACAGCACCACAATAAACCAAATTAAAACCTAAAGTGACAGTGGCAGCAGCTGTAGCTACAACAATACTACAGGCTGATAAAAATAATTTAAGACAGAGACAAGAAAAAAAAAAAAAAATGATTTATCGCATAGTCATTGAAGTCGGGCTCAAGCTTGAGCTGCCTCTGATGCCTCCGCTGCCTCCGCTGCTGTTGAGAGTGTTAAGTGTTGACTTTCATCTTGTTGCCACCAAATTGCAAGAGCCGGGGTCGGAGTCGTGCCGCTGTTGTCATTGCCGCTACCGCCACGCAACACCGCACGCAGCCGCTAAAGTCCTTCACTTTGAAGCGTGAAGGTTTTCAATAAGCCCTAAACCAAACGCAGCGGCGCACAAGAGCCCAAACCAAGAGTCAAGATCTCTCTCTTTCTCTCCCCTTCAAAAAAAACCGTTGCACTTTGCGAAAGTTAACTGAGAGATGTACAAGTAAATAAACGTCATTTACCACAATTTACAGCCACTTGGCACTTTGATTGGGATTCGGTTTCATTTTCAGCTGCTTTTGCTCCACATCTTTTTCTTTTCATTTTTTCTTCGCCTTTATGCGCTTGAGAGCCTCTACAGTTATATTGTGGCACGTTACAATGCTGTTGATGTTGACATAATACGCACAGCTCGACTGAGGCAGCTAACGGTACGCAAACGTAAAATATATTACGTATACGCCTACTGATCTGTTAGATCAGCTGTGTGTGCTGCTCTACTGACAGAATCGCGAGCAGGCTCGTCTGTTGCTTAGAGTTTTTAAATCTCTTACGCATATTTGTTTATGCCTATGAATCATTAAGTGGACAGACCCTTCTCGCCTCCTACACACGCGTTATGTCACTTCAAAGCGCGTCAGGGAAGACCCAATGCATAATAAACAAGAATGTTGCAGTCGGATCCAACCGACTGCGCAATACTTGTTCAGAGTCAAGTAACAGCTTAAGACAGGTATAATTTATTGAGAGATCGCCCAAAGTCCATGCTCGAAGGACCTTTCCAGTAGTTTTCATTTAAGATTTGGTCACTCATGCTCATATCTTTCTCTCTTTTCAGTCGATTTCTAGTTTAAATTTGGTCACTCTAGATTTTAAGCAGTGGTAGATATCGCGTTTTGCGACTTGCCACGCCTCCAGTGGACCACATAATAATAACACCTTCTGTGACGCTCGATTATATATTCCAACTGTCAAGTCATTCAGTCAAAACGGCTAAAATATAGTTTTCATATGGGCAGACAAATGAACATCAACACACATATTGCAAAAAACACCAATATACTCTTTTCACTTTGGAAACGAGTATAATAAAAAATCAGACATAACGCGAATCGAGAGTGCGAACGTGAAGTGAAACATTTGTTCGAATTACGAGTAAAAACATACACACACATCCATACCCATAATACACATAATACATATGTAGGTACCATATCATTATCTTTTGGTCTTCTCTTTTAACTGTACAACTACAACTTTTACCACACGAGCAGCTGCTGCTCAGTTCTGCTATGTGAATTTAAATAATTTAAACCTTAATGTAATTCCTTGGGAAATCGGCCAACGTTGATTATATGTCTGGCTGTTCGTCTTTAGACGGCGGCCCAGTGCTCTACATGGAAATTATATAGCACATTTTCTCAGACAACTTATTTCGTAATCGTGCGCAAGGTGCAAATTGTGGCGCCCGTTGTTTACTTTTATTTGACTTATGTTACAGGTCGCGACGGCTTTCAGGTGGAAATAGATGAAGTCGAAATAGTAATTGGTGGATCTCGGGGATTCACAACTATTAATGGTTATTTTAATTTCGAAGAACCAAAATAAATTAAAGGTAGCTATCTGGAAATTGACATTTGCAACTGTCTGGGTTAATCAACGATGATTTTGTTTTTGTAAATCAATGGATGGTTAAATGACTTCCTGGTCAATCGGTGGCGCAAGTCGAGAGATGTCGATGTTGCTGTCTAAGCGAAAATGTCGAAAGAGCCACCAAAACGTGCAAATCGAGGAAAGTGCCGAAGAAATTTCAAATGCAAGTACAGACAACTAAAAATGTTAGCGACATTTTAGTTTTTTTAGTGTTTCGATTTTTTCAGCTTTATTTTTGTTGTTGTATTTATTTGTCTATTTTTTATTTATATATTTGCTTTATGGTGGGAAACAAGAGGCTACGCCAGCAATTGGAGTTGGAGTTGTACGCTGGCCGCAGGTCGTCCGCCAAAAACAAGTCGGCGCTGAAGATGAAGGTACAAGCTATAACAACAACAACAACAACAACAACTCTTATGTGAGTGTATGTGTGTGTTGTGATGATCATTAGCGTCCAACGACTTGGCTATCGTTAGCGATCATGAAGAAGACGAAGTTGCCGATAATGATGTTGGCCCGACGGACGAAGTCGATGAAACTGAAACTTGGCGCAACGCTTTGGGCGAGGAGGCGGGGTGTAGACCGCATGATGAAGACACACGGCGGCCGTTGTGTGGAGTATAAAGAGGGCCTGCGTGGCATTTGGAATGCATTCAGTCGCTGGCTCCCCACTCGAAAGCAACTAAATTTGCCTTATAATTTAATTTTACTTCTCTCCCCCACACATACACCACAAAACTCATTGCTATGAACTCCTTCTCAGTGGTAAGTAGCCGAAAGAAGAAGAAGTGTGGATTACACTGTGGATAACCATTGGATTACCCTATCGCCAACAGTTCTTAGTGTTTGCTCTGGCTGCTCTGGCCGCTGCTGAGCCCCCATCGGGCTACAATTATCCCCGTGGTGGTGGTGGTGGTGGTGGCGGCGGTGGCGGTGGCGGTGGCTTTGGCGGCGGATCCTCATTCGGTGGCGGCGGTGGATTCCAAGCCGTCAGCGGTGGCTTCCAGACATCGGAGGGACAAAATGTTGATCCCCAGCTGCTGGAGCAGGTGCGTCAGATTCTGCTGAATGAGGAGAGCAAACAGGGAGGTGGTGGCGGTGGCGGCGGCGGCGGCGGTGGTGGTGGTGGTGGTGGCTACCCAAGCGGACCATCCTCCAGCTATGGCCCACCCTCGACCAGCTATGGTGCGCCCAGCAATGGAGGCGGTCGCGTTGTTGGCATCGATCTTGAGGGCGTGCGTCAGGCCATCCAGGTGGCTCAGTTTGCGCAACAGAGCTCGCAGGCTAGCAGCGGCGGTGGCTATCCCAGTGCTCCATCTGGCTCGTATGGTGCTCCCTCAAGGCCCAGCGGCAGCTATGGTGCGCCCTTCTAAGCCAAGCGACGCACATCTAAAACAAATTTTTGCTGCCAAAAAAATGAATACCGACGGAAAGGACGACATTAAACGACACAGCCTGACCTAACGACAACAACAACAACAACAATAACTGAAATCAACAAGAATTTATGAAAGTATGGGCTCACCAACAACCAATACTTGAACTTGGCTAAAAGTTCGTGCGCACCACGCCCCCCGCCCCCCTATTGAAACACCTTCTGAGTGAAAACGTAGTTCGACTAGTGATGTAGAGTGAACGGTCGAATCCATCCACCGTTTCATTCACCTTCCATCCCCTATCAAATCTCGCGCTATCTCACCTTTCCTCCAGAAGACCCAGACTCAGTGACTGTATAATTTCTCTAAACTATCTTTCTAATTGAACTCAAAATGCAATTTCGCCCGGCATTTGAGAGCTAACCGAATTTCGGGGTGAAATTCGTTTTTTTTTTTGTAAATAGTTTTTTCTCAACACCTTTTTTTTGTATCAAACAACAAAAACAAACATTCTCTTCACCACAAAACAGTGTTATAACGCATTATTAGCATGTAAGTGTTTTTATTTTTATGAAACAAACAAAGAAACAACAAAAAAAAATATGAAAATAATAAAAAAAATAGTAAATTTTGTCACCGTTAAAATATGCAATCTTTTCATTTTATAATAATTGGCGCAGTTCTATGCAAAAACATACAATATTTATTTACAGATTTGAAAACTGCGCGTTTCCTAGCTGTTTTTTTCAATTTCTTACAAAATGCATCTGCCAATTGACCTAGATTATTCTGATTTGGCAATTAAAACTAAACAACATTCTAAAATGTTAGTCTCAGCTGTTCGATGACATCCAAAATCAAATTCGAATTCTCATTGATTTTACGAGAGTTTAAACACATTCGACATTATCATGATGTGTCTAGTAGTCTATTGCGTAGAGCTTGAAAAATCCTTTCACTTTTTGTATTGGAAGACGCAACCAACAAACCTGCAGTAGCCATGACTTGTGGAGCTCTCATCAATATCCAAGTGCTCAAGTCTCGCGCCAGACGCTCATTAAGACGCGATTTCGTCAGATGCAGTCGATATTGCGATTGGGTCACAGTGCAGCGCGAGGGGCTGACCATTAACCGCATATTATACATGGATCACGATGAAGACGACTGCGGGCAGCAGCAGGCGACGTAGCCACTCAACCAACATTCGGCATCATTAACATCTGTATACCCTACCTCAGTGTATGTAGATTTTGGAGGCAGATAAGGCATTGCTATAATTATTGGTGCTAACAGATATATATTATTAGAGCAGCAAGGCGATGATATGGATAATGGTATTATGTTTCCTGCAGGTCAATGTAGTAGGCAGAAGAAAACATATTCTTCTATATAAAGATATATATTCTTGATCAGGAAGACAAGGTGTAGTATACACAGATTAGGCATATTTCAATTTTGGGATACATTTTCCCATTTCCCATATAAATTTGAGAAAAAAAACTAATTTGTTGAGCTAGACTCTATTCGCTTTGGTATATACCCACATTTACCCCGAAAGTGGTATAAGAATCGGACTATAAAAACTGAAAATATTCATGATTTTTCATGATTTTTCCATAGTGTATAAGGAAAAGCGCTTGGTGAAAACAGTTGCAATATCTTGTACATATCTTGGAGTATGTTAAAGGAAGTGTAGGGTATACAATGTTCGTCAGCCTGCGCTAGTCAGTCTACTTGTTCAATTTAATGCATGTTACGTCCAACTATGGCAACATAGCCGGTAGAGGCACATATAAGTGGTTAGTGGTAAGTGCCACAAGTGTGTTGCACTGATGCGACCCGCAGAGGATGACAAGCGGCAACAGCAAAGTGGAATTCATGTGTGTTATGTCACAGCAATTGCAGCCAAATATGTGTACGTGTTGCGCGGATAAGCTTTTTGGGCAATACATAAGCCCAAATGTCTTTAACTCTTCACTCTAATTATAATCAGCGCCCACTTAATTATTTGCCCAGCCCGAGTGAAAAAACTTTGCGATCTTGTTATGACTTGCGATATCATTTTGATGTGTGACACGCCGGTTAAAACAATGAATGGGTTGCTTGATTGCCAGCTCGACTTAAGTCTGATAATAGATTTGCGGTGTCATCGTCATTGTCAGGGCTTATCTGATAAAATCTGGGACCTGTTGTATATGTCTGAAGACGATCAACTTATACTCGTAAAATGGCATCGTTAAGATAACTGCTTTTATAATAAAGTCGATAGCTAAGTTTTAGGCATTATCACAGTTAAAGATAAACTTCTAAAGTGCTAAAAACTTATATAAAGCACTGTAGACGCCATGTGAAGATCAATTGTGATTAAGCAACTCGCCTGGTGTCGGAAAGTGCATGTGAAATAGTTATATCGGATTAATATATACATATATATATATACATATATATCCTCTGCAATGTCGGCACTCTTAAACGCCACGGCCCAGACCCTGGCCGGCTCGCAGTTTACGTTCCAAACGACGGACTATATAGTTTTCACTTTCATGCTGAGCATATCGGCGGCAATTGGTGTTTATTTTGGATTCTTTGCCAAGGGCGCCGATACCACGGATGAGTATCTGATGGGTGGCAAACGCATGAAGACGCTGCCAATCGCCATTTCATTGGTGGCCAGTCAACTGTCGGCCATTTCCATCATGACCATTCCGGCGGAGATGTTCGCCTTTGGATTTAACTGGTTCTTCAATGTGGCCTCTATGCTGGTGGTTATACCCCTTCTCAACTATGTGATAATACCTGTGTTCTACAACAACAACATCACCAACTGCTACGAGGTGGGATTCAGATTTAAAGCCACTTACATTTGATGTCTATATATAGTTGAATTTTCCCAAATAGTATCTGGAGTTGCGCTTTAATAGTGCCACCCGCAAGCTGCAAACATTTATTTTCGTGCTGACTCTATTCTTCATGCTGCCAATTTTTATATTTCTGCCATCCCTGGCTTTTGCGCAAGGTAGGTTCCATCTGAATATCAGGATAGTCTATCCGTAAAGTGTTGTTATAGTGCTTTTTAAAAATTTGGATTATAACTTAAATCTATGTGGTAAGCCTTATAAGAAAAACCTTAAAATTCAAGTAATAATATTAACAAAAATAATAACAATAATAATAATAATAACAAAAGATAAACAAATTGTCTGTGGTTCGCTTAGCGGTTTGAACCAATTCCTTGGCTTGAGGCTCAATTCGTGAAACTGGTTTTCCACATCTACAAACTAATCTCATCCCAAAACTGGCATTTCAGAAATATGTTTATATAATGCAATGGTTAGAGCCCTAGTGGCCGGATCACTCTCAAAAGTTGTTAATTTAAAATCGAACCGTTAAAAAAGAAAGCAATGGTTCAGTTTAGGGTTGACTGTCCTTTTGTTACTGGTGTTTAGTTCTAAAAAGTGAATTGGATCGCCGGTTCGTAGCCTGGAATATTTTATTAAGTCAGATTTTTAATCATAAAATTTATCTGCAACCTGTATTTTCCTTACTTAACATTTAACTAATTGATACCTATGACTAACTAAATATTTATTATTTTATCATCCAAGTAACTGGCTATAATGTGCACATTATCAATGCGATCGTTTGCAGCATCTGCGTCTTCTACACAATGATTGTAAGCAGATCGTACATATCTTATCATAGAGAAATTCGAATAAACATTATATACTTTTTACTAGGGCGGCATTAAGGCAGTCGTCTGGACGGATGTGGTGCAGGCAAGCATTATGGTCGTATCAGTGGTGCTGGTGGGCATCATGGGTGCCCAACGATTGGGCGGCCTTGGCGAGGTGTTGCGCATTGCCGGCGAGGGCGGCCGCTTGAAGGTCAAGTAGGTATCTCCAACAACTCCATTGGATAGCTATTAGAGTAGAGTCCATTTTCAGCTACACATTCAATCACACGGAACGTTCCACGTTCTGGAATGTGTACTCCTCAGCTGTGATAGCTTGGACCAGCTATGTGGGTCTCAATCAGAGCTGTGTGCAACGCATCGTTTCGCTGCCATCGCTAGCAAAAGCCAGAAGGTAGTTACCACAATCCCTTAACCAATCTGCTATATACACCAGCACCGCACAACCTAATCCCGCATTCTTGCAGAGCTCTGGTACTCTTCGGTCTGGGCTTTGTGATCATCATGAGCTTTAATTGCTTTACGGGCATCGTGATGTATGCTCGCTACCATGACTGCGATCCCATTGCCCAGGGCCTGGTCAGCAAGCTGGACAAAATGGTGCCATATTTTGTACAGGATATTATGGGTCATCTGACCGGAATGCCAGGCGTCTTCATCTCGTGCGTCTTCAGCGCTGCGCTGAGCACACTTTCCGCCAGCATCAATTCGCTGAGCGGCATTGTTTACTTTGACTACATCAAGCCCCACATACACCATACGGAGCACAAGGCCAATGTCATCATGAAGCTGTTTGTCTTCTTTTCCGGCGTCTATTGTATATTTGGCGGCATGGTCGTGGAGCAGTTCAGCTCCATACTGCAGATTATCTACTCCATTGGCGGCGTTAGCTTTGGCTCGGTGTGCGGCGTTTTTCTGCTGGGCATGTTGGTGCCCAGGGTACATGGTCGGGTGTGTACCAACGGCATTTGCCATCAAATCCAAAGACTATATCAACGATTATTTGCTCTGCTTACAGGCGGCTCTTGCTGGCGTCATTGGAAGCATTGCGTGCATGTCCGTCATTGTGGTGGCCAGTTGGGGGCGCAATCATTACCCTACCATGCCTACTACTGTAGACAACTGCCCGGGCCTGAATGCCACACTAACCACGACCACATCAGTCCTTGCCCGCCTGAATGCCACGATCAAGGTGGAAGCCGTAAAAGACTCTGGTTTCAACATTTTGGATATGTCCTTCAATTGGTATGCAGTGCTCGGAGTTAGTATCACCTGGTTTGTGGCCGTAACGCTCAGTTATGTGCTGAAACCGGCATCGAATGCCAAGCTGGATCCGAAGCTACTGTCGCCAATAATACAGTCATTTGCCCAGTATGAGCCGACGCCCCTTGAAGAACTACCAGATCTGAAGATCGAGAAACAGGAAGAAAAGATAAAGGCATAAAAATTCTGTTAGAGCTTTTACAAAAAGTGATTATCTTAATTAGTATTATATACTACCCAACTGAAGCATCATAAACAACTTGGCAAGCATACAACGATCATAAGATATATGTATATGGTTTAACGAATCTGACAAAACGCTTATCTTAATTAGCTGCTTAATGTGTAAGTATTTCGACAGCCTCTAGATAGCTAGATAGTTTATAAGCAAATAAACAAGTAAGAGGTTCTAGTCGGGAGCTCCCGACTAGGGGATACCCTGAACCCTCTTCTTCCAACACCAAATGCAGCTCGCGCTACGCGCTCGTTTGATTTAGTAGTAATAAAGAAAAATGAAAATAAAAAAAATTGTTTCCTTGGCAGGGCTCGAACTCGCAACTAACCGCACCACTTACCGCTGCCTCTACTCAAGGGCCACACTAAAATATAGCTTTAAAGAGAAAAAAACCAATTAAAATAGCAGCACAGAAAACAATACAATCGCAATTGCAATGCTGTTGATAGAATTCAAAGCAGACGCGCAAAAAATTTGTGTATGTGTACATGTATACAGAAATTCTTGGAATTTGCGCAGCAGCTATGCTGCTAATACGTGCGACATAACTTTTGTGTTTCTTAACCGATCTTAATGAAATTTTCGACAGTACATCTTATTGTAGAATAGAATAAAGAATATTTGTGTATTCTCAAAAATTCAATTGCATAGAAATTGTGGCTTAAATTGATTAACAATACAAGTTGGATAATTAACTTGATTTATAGCACTAACCAAAGAACATATGTATATGTAGATGGGACATGCCGTGTTACCAAAGTGGACACAAAAAGTATCGGTGCATCTGGTCAACGAGCGAGTAAGATATACATACATATGATGTCTTTTGATCGCTTACACTACAGGAAACTGCTTTGGCTTACTCTCTTCCATATGATTTGTGCGATAGAACGGCATCGCTGTTTATTTTTATCTCGCTCGCACTTACTCTCAGTGCTCTCAATGCTCTCTTTGTGTCTAGGTACCGTTTAAATGTTTGTGTGTATGTGTCCGCACAAGCAAAAATGCCCACATATTTAATTTTTGTCAAAAGTCGGCGGCATTTCTTCTCTTTTGAGGGGACGAGTAATATGAAATAATGAAAGGGTTTGCCAAGTCGATGCGAAATTCTTGCATTTTAGCTCGGTATTGCTGGAAAGGGTACCTATGCGTTGGCATGTGTGCATTTAAAAGTTTTTGGACTTGCTATTCACGCATACTTGCATATTTTGTATATGAATAGAAGCATTTATGCGCTTGTGTGCCTGTTGGTCCCTGCCTGTCTGTCCGATGCAAATTTGACAATATTTTGTGATTTCTGAATTTCGAATGGGCAGATCATGGGCGCAAAAGAAAATATCATTGTCGGCACGCGTCTGTCGCGCACCCTTCTTTTTATGATTTTGGGTTTGCATTGATGAATGAATGTTGACCCCTTATTACCTGCAGCAGCCCGTTGTGTGGAAAGGGTAAACTTTTGGCAAGCACCTGTACCTGTCACTTAACTAATTTTAGGAAATTTGTGTAAAAAATAAAATCTTTAAAATATTCAAATATACCAAATACAAAAAAGGAGCAATTATATATGTAGCTTTTTCATATATGAATTTGATCTGCAGGTAATAAGGGGTCAACATTCATTCATTAATTCAATTCAAATGATATTTTCTTTTGTGCCCATGATCTGCCCATTCACACACATTTGTGTCTGTCCGTGTGTGTGTAGAGCTCGAAATTCAGAAAACACAAAATATTGTCAAATTTGCATCGGACAGACGGGCAGGGACCAACAGGCACACAAGCGCATAAATGCTTCTATGCATATACAAAATATGCATGTATGAGTGAATAGCAAGTCCAAAAACTTTTAAATGCACACATGCCAACGCTTAGGTACCCTTTCCAAAAATAACGAGCTAAAATTAAAGAATTTCGCATCGACTTGGCAAACCCTTTCATTATTTCATATTACTCGTCCCCTCAAAAGGGAAGAAATGCCACCGACTTTTGACAAAAATTAAATATGTGGGCATTTTTGCTTATGCGGACACATACACACAAACATTTAAACGGTACCTAGACATAAAGAGAGCATTGAGAGCACTGAGAGTAAGTGCGAGCCAGATAAAAATAAACAGCGATGCCGTTCTATCGCACAAATCATACGGAAGAGAGTAAGCCAAAGCAGTTTCCTGTAGTGTAAGCGATCAAAAGACATCATATGTATATCTTACTCGCTCGTTGGACCAGATGCACCGATATTTTTCGTGTCCACTTTGGTAACACGGCCTGTCCCATCTATATGTTCTTTGGTTAGTGTTTATAGCTTCGCGGTGGTAGCGGGGAGGTGGCGATAGGTATAAAATGAAAGATACTTGATATATATGTATATACTATTCTAGAAGCTACATGTCAAGTTTGGTGACTCTAGCTCATATTATTTGCCGAAATTGCTCAAAAAACAAGATTTCGATATCGATTTTTATCGATTACTTGGAAACGCGGCAACTTATCAAACTCGATCTGCGCGGGCATTAGGAGTACCTTCAGCTAAAATTTCAAGTCTCTAGCTCTTATAGGTTCTGATATCCTTGCGTTCATACATACGGACAGACGGACGGACGGACAGACGGACAGACAGACAGACATGGCTAGATCGACTCGGCTATTAATGCCGATCAAGAATATATGTATATACTTTATGGGTTCGGATATGCTTCCTTCTGCCTGTTACATACATTTGCACAAATAAAATATACCCTGTTTACCCATTTTTAATGGGTTCAGGGTATAATAAATAAATAAAATAAAAAAATTCGCTTTTTGGCACACACTCTAGAGACTATGTAAGGATATCAGAAGATACCAGTCAGCATTATAATTTATCAAGCTATAGCGTCTTATCGCTTAGCCGTTAAATATTTGAACAACTTAACAGCTTGTTGGACTTACGCCTTATTTGCACTCATTGAAAATGGTTAAAACAAAATGGGGTATACAAAAATGGGGTATAAGGAACAAAAGCATCAGCTATTGAAACTTTTAATCGGCATAAATTGTCGTCTTAATCTAACCATGCCCTCCTGTATATCCATTCTTTTGTCTAAAAGCGTCAATCGCAAGCTGCTATAATTCTCTTAAATCGATATATATCGATTTGAGGCCCAGGATTTTGAAAATTTGAAAAATTCCATGAGGCTGGGACTGCAAACCTTGGCATGCAAGTTTTCGTATAGCAGAACACAGATCTTGGACATTTTTGTTATTGGACGCAACTCCACACTCCCTTTAAGATATCAAAAATTATAATTTTGGAATGTATACCCTAAATTCTTTAGATATAAATATATTTATATGAAATTTTTTACCCTTAAGAATCTCATAACCATCGGACAATAAACAAAGTTTTATTCAAGAATAAATTTTTTCAAATAAAGTACGAATATACGATTATATTTTACGGCAGTTTGCTTGAATTGCGTACAGGGTAGCTCCTAGTCATGCATCTGAAATCACTTTTCCTTTTTAAAAGTGTGAAAGATTTTAGAATTGCCCATCTATATAAATTAAGTGCTCAAAAAGAAAGATTACAAGAAACGTGAAAAGGCGCTATCTTATCAAAGATTAAACTTCTTTTTATAAATGCTCGGATACCAAAATATCTATGTCTATATATATTCAAGTTATCGGCACCGAGAAAAAAGTATCATGCTATTGGTTCCGAGCTATATACAGTTGACGGCTCGAACCAACTCCCTGCTTTTAGTTTCATTTTGCGTGCCTGGGACCACAAACCAAAAAATGTTTCCAATATGAAACAATTTTAAATGAAGACAACGATCCCAGATTGTTCACATGTTCACATATGTCCGAAACGAACCAGTCGAAAAATAAAGGGAATTAGAGATCATAGGTGAGATATTTTTATTAACAAATTTAGTAATACAAATCTTAAGTCGTTGTTTTTAAAAAAAAGCTCTTAAAAACTAAAATAACAAAATATGTTTGCTAAAAAATTGAAAAAAATTAGATCTGCTAGTCGTTTAATGGAGAATTAAACCAAGTTTATCAAAATCGGTTAAGTTATGGCAATGTTAAGGAACTTTGAAGTTTGGTACGGGCCTTTACTTGGGACTGAGCACTTTACAATTTCGCATTTCTTCAAAGAAATCTTAAATAAGATCTTGAGCATTAACAAATTCTTGATAAATGTGCCATAGTATATTTCTCCTGTGTGTGTTAAAAAAGTCAGTATCGTGTTCGTAATGGACCCTGTCTTAAGAACCTGAACCGCGCCCATCTCTGATTGGGACCCACTTTACTTATGCTTTGGGCTTGGGTCAATCTCATAAGTTTCTTATTTTCACTGTTTTTTGACGATTTAAGATTCGGTTCATAGTAAAAAATAAATGAATTGTAAATCATGGTTCGAACCGGTTCCGGTTCACATCGGTTATCAGCCTGTGTTAAGATCAATCTAATAAAAATTTAAATAGTCCCCCAACGACCCTGAAAAACTACTTTTCATCAATAATATGTATATACATTTTGGTAAAATCTGACTTCGATACCTGTAGTTCCTTGAGGTCTTTACGTATAAAAAGGAGAGTCCTATCGAGGTGAATCAACAATAATAAAAATTTGGTTCAAGCTCAAACTGTGATAAGAACAGATTGAGTTTATTTTATTTGATTTTATCTATTTCTGTTTGATTTATTTATTTCTCAAATTGGGTTGGAAGAGAAATATTGATTAAAGTTTTTAAAAGTAAAACGAATTCACTTGCTTCAAGTAAAATTGTCTTGATTTTTTCTCCTTGTGTAATTATGATCTGTTAGCAGTAGCTGTGAATATCTACGAGATACTTTTTTCATATACAACTAAATAATTATCAAAACAAACATGCTATAGACACCACAGAACTTAATAGATAAAAAGGCTTCCAAAGGCGTTCTAGTTTATGAAAGATACGTCACGGTGATGGCTTCATATAGACACATAAAGACATGTCAACAGATAAGGTAGCCACAGATAATCATTTAGAAACGACAGCATCCAATTGTAGCATTG